ACATCAACATTCAAAGTCTATTAGGAAATGATCGCCATGTCAGCTCAGACCAGTTAGTCATTTTTAATAAGCAAGAGGGGAAAAGATGATTCTTTCAAGTAAGCAGAAATCTGTGGAATTGATGTCAGGAGTCATGGTAATACTGCAAGGCTTGATATGGAAAATGAGCGCGCGAGTTAGACCGGGCTACAGTGACAGGAAACGTGGCCGACTGCAGATATGACAGGAGGAGCTTCTGCTGTGCCCGCTTCTTCATTATAGACTCAGGCCATCAAGGCTGAGTCAGTCGCTTCTTATGCCTGGGCCACACAACACAAGTTAATGCTCACTGATTGCTACGCCTAAGTTCCACTGACAGAAGTTTTCCAAAGCAATTACTCAACCATAAAGGTGCCAGATAACAAAGCTCCATAACTGTCCCTAAGCAGTCAGAAGGTCTAATCCGTAAGCAGCTGACGCTTTTCCATGGGCAGCTTCCTCTGGCATCCTGGCTCTGCTTACCAGGAGGAAGGTGGGGGTCAGGCAACAAGCATTTGGACCACGGTGCTTCTAGGGAGCCGCAGGACACTGGATGGACCAGCACTAGAGCAGGACAAGTGCTGGAGCTCCACTCAAACACCGCCTTTGTGCTGGGAAAGGGGGAGACTAAATCCTAACATCACTCCTAACGCCTAAGAGCATTTCAGAGGAAATTAGAAAACAAGTTTTCTCCTAGAACAGCCAAACATCTTAAAAAAATCTAAAAGATAACTAAGATGGCACCCATACATGCCAAAGCATATGCTCTTTGTTTTGTAAGGTGAAGGTTGCATTTTAAGCAGCCAAGTTAAACATAATTGTCCTCTTGAAACTATGTGGAAGTCAAAATACCGCTTTGTTTCCTTCTGATGCTTAAAAAACAATTGCAGCCATGTGCGAATAGTGAAGCTGAAGTCTCGTCTGAGCGCTACCGTTGCGAGCAGTCTGCAGCACCCAGGAAACGCTGACCAGGAGACACAATAGATCACACGGTACCTTTATAGAGTGGGGCTGTAATCCAGTTTGTATGGAAAAAAAGAGAATGCAAGTTGCGGCCTAAACTCTACTGAGTCAGTGGCCTAACACAATACAGCCTAAGTGACATCCTTTTTCTCAAAGAGGCTCAAGGCTCATTGAATGTGGCAATTCAATTACCCTCGCAACCCAGGAGGATCCCCTCCTCCCCGGCCCTCTCCTGCTCCTGAGCTGAGGTCTAACGGCAGAGCAGCCTGGCACAGCTACATTGTACACGCCTGTAAATATCTAAAAAGCCTCAGGCTTTAGAGAACAAGCATCCCTGACCTTTTATGATTGCTATAGCAGTTTTCTAACAAAACAAACTACATACAATAGAGCTCTTAAATACCTGACAGAGTAATTCATTTTCAGTACACAGTAGTCTAAATACTCTATTAATGAATCATGTTTCAAACACCTGAATGCTGTACTGCTTACTGCTTGGGCAGAAAGGAGAGCAAGGAAGTTGGCAAACTAGAACTTCTCAAAAGAACCTGAAGTGTTACCTGCTGGAGGGAGTTTCTCAAGAGAACGATGGAGAAAGGGTTGGAAATGCGAGTGGAAATTCAGTAAGCCTAGAAAGCAACCCGGATGTCCTGGGTTTATTGACTCAAATACGTGAACCTTTTACACTTCATCTATTTATTTTGTCTAGAAGCTAACAGATGTATGCATAAACTGTTGGATTAAATATAGAAGTTTATTTAAAAGGTGAAAATAATGCAAAAAAAATGCTTTCATTGGAAAGTATTTTCAAAGACATTTAACAAGTTTTGACAGTGCAAAGTATGCTTTTATGAAATGATAGAATATTCAGCAAGCATATTGTTGAATATCTGAATGATTAGTTTATTAAAAGTTTAGAAAAATACCTTAAAGTGTTGCATAACAAACATGAAAAGATACTGGTTTCTTTAAAAACTTTCAAGATGGTAGCTTTGAAGTTTCAGTGTGATTTTCAAAATTACACTGTTCTTGTCTTTTCGCAGGTCTACAAGCACAGGATACAGGAACAAGCACCCCAAGCATCATGAAGCAGGCAGGTCGAGGATACTGATATAGGGGTTGTCACACAGACCCTGACTTCAAGAGAATCACTTAAATTTCTGCATCTGCCTCACAGCTACCACCTTATGCCTGTATTTCTCGCTTGGTAGAAAGCAATGGGCTTCAAAGTACAGATGTAGTATAAAAAAGAGCAGCACACACACGTACCTACACAAACATCCTATTAATAAAGCAAGCAGCAAGAGTTTATGTAATGGTTCCCGAAGAACAGGATTTGTTATGTTGCAATAGAAACATTTTCTAGATTCATTTTCACCAGAAATGAATATATCAAAAGGAAAATTCAGCTGAGCAAACTGTAGTCAAGTCAAAGCTGGATTCCCTCTAAGTAGTGCTATTTCTCCAGACAACAGTCAGTATGTGCATTAAAGGAGGCACAGCTATTGACAGTGAAGCTATCGATATGGAAAATATCCAGCCTTGCTGCCTATCCCATGATTTCAGACATTTGCTAAGTGTTTATGGTTGCGGCTTTTTCTTGACTTTTTTTTTTCCTTAAATGCCTGAATTGAGATGTTGCGGAGAAATGCTCCCATGACTGTGCAACATTAGATCTCGCCAAGCAGGATAAGGTAAGAAAGCAAAGGGAAAACACTGTATGTATGAAAACTCGCACCTGGAGTTGGCAGCGATGCTGGTTTGGGGCATAGCTTCCTGTCTCGGCAGCAACTCAGCTAGCAGGAACCAACTACTGAATTTTTTTAAAGCTGTGTCCTTCAGTCCATGTGATTATCAAGTGTCAATGTAAGGAAAAGCAGGTAACAAAACCTTAGTCTACTTTTTATAGAAACTACAGTTTCAGAATGGATACTGAAGCTAGGTATAGACAGGGTACTAAAAGTAAGGCTGTAACTACATGTCAGTAATCTGAAATACTTAAGTTTCCCCCTAAGGAATGCTAAAGCTCCTAAGAGAATAGAAGTATATGTCAATTCTTTTCTCAAGCAGGATTTCCTGATAAAATAGCAGCTGATCAGGTCACTTGCTCAGGGCAAAACCAGAGTCTTACCTATCATCTGCAGCTTCCAAGATACTTTAAATGAGTGAACATCAAACAGCCCTAACACTATAGGCTGCGACCCACCTCCCTGACTGACAGGTGAAATCTGGCCCTGTTAAAATCTCTACGAGTAGATCCATTGGCTTTAGCAGCACAAAGCTCTCACTTCACAAGTTTAAAGGAGACACCTAACATTATTCCAGCCTATCTTTGGCAAAACACAGCTCTCAAAGCTCTGCAGTAACCCCACCTAATTTTCTCTCCCTCTGTAATGGATTCCCAGAACTCAGAATGAATCTGCTCTTGAAATGCCTTACCCTTTCTGCCAACTCACAAAAGCATCATATTTCTAAGGCTATCAGAGTGTTAGAGGCCCACTAGATGCCTCATTCCCAGATACTGCTGGTGTCAGTTTTGACATTTTCTTTTGCAGTCTTCTGTCCACCTTCCCTTCTTTACTCCCAGCTTTTGTGTTTCTATTATCAGGCCCTTTTCCTTAGTAACAGATAGTACCCTATCCAAGGCAGGAGCATAAATAAACCTTAATACACAGAGCATTTTGGTAAAACACTTCCATAAAATTCTTTAGCTTTCCTAAACAAGCCAGAGTAGAATTAAGAGATGGAGACTAACGGTTTCATTACTGCCTTGTACCTTCCCTGTTCAGTTCTTCTGCTTCACAACGCCTGGAAGAGGTAATAAGCAGCAATATGCCACAAAGTAATATAGTATGGCTGGAAACAGATGCCCACATTCATGAAAGTAAGTGCTGCATTGACAGGATCCAGATTATACAAGAGTCCTTATGCAGATGCTGGGCATAATGCCAACCACTGTAAAGCACATCAACACATACTTATAATTGATACATGTATCTTAATATCTCCTTTTATCCCAATGATTCTTGTTAAGGTGCAGGATTTACTGGTGTGTTCTCCATGCAATACATACTGAGGAGTAAAAGCAATGCAGCTGGTTGCAGCAGGGCTGCTGCTGCCCCCCGTGTCTCCTCCAGCTCCCCCTGCACAGGCTCTACAGGATGCACCCAAGTTTGCACACCAGAGCACAACACACAGGCACAACCCCCAGCAGATCATGAGGCTGGCTGGACTCAGAGAGATAAATAAATCAAGCTAGAGCTAATGACTCAAAAGATGGGAAATACTTTTGAAAAGCAAGGGGCAATCAATATCCAGGCAGGTTTAAACTATCCCAGGCGGCAAAATTAATCTTGTCATATCAGCTTTGCTGCCAACTTTCCTTATTCATCTTGCTTACTGTTGACAGTCATTTGTAAACCACAAAAGGTTTGTTTTGTTTTAAGATTTTGCTATCATTACAATAACCTGTTAAGAGAGGTACAGTACCTCCAAAAAAGTAGGTTCTACTTGTTCCCATCATATTTTACTATTAGTCTAAATGACAGGCCACATTCATATGAACCAGAGCCTTCTAAGGTAAACTACAACAATAAGAATATTCTTTGATGGGTTGAAAGAAAACGAAAATTATAATCATTTGCTAAAAAAAGTCTTTAATGAAAAAAAGTCTTGTAAGTATATTACCTCAGTCATGTAGCAAAGTGAAATAACGACATTATAATAGTCAGTATTTTTCAATACCATTAGATTTTAAAAATAAAATCTTTATGGAAAAGGCGCACAAAAATAGATTTGCAATGTACATACTTTGTACTAGTCTGGAGCAGCATAATGTACCAGCATGAAACAGCAATAATTAAAAACAAGATAAATATGCTGAATTGAAAAGTCCCTGGTACAAAGCATCATATTTCACAAGACTTTACAAAGATATGCCTTGTAATGCAAAAGCACAATGAAAAATGCAGACAATTGCTGTTCTCTGCTTCCATGCACTACTGCAAGCCTGATTTTACCTTGTTTGCGATACTTGTGATAAACGACTTGATGTCCAGATGAGTTGGGCAACTCTTCTGACATGGGGCATCCGCACACTTTAAACATCTACACGAAAAAAAGAAAACTGTGTCAAGGAGACATGGAGCACAACTGCTGCCAACAGCACGGGGTTTCTCAAGTGCATATGACAAAAGATAAGCCACAAATGATTAATACAAGACTTTTCTGTAAAGTAACTAGTTAAAATCTCTAAATGCTATATGACCTATATTGGATTGAGCTTTGATGTTGGACATTCAGACATACAAAACTCAAGAATGCTTCCACAGAGTAAAGAATTAATTTGTCTTGTACGTGCAAACGGAAAAAAAAAAGAAATGTGAGCACCAGGTAAATTTTGAAATCTTTCTTACGCATTTCTTGTAATGTGCTTCTGACCTTCTAAAACACTTCATCCCACTCATGCATAATCCCTACTGAAATAAGCAATACTCCCTTGTCATCCCTAATATCATATTTTATTGTATAGCAATAACACACAGATTTTAAGGGACAAAGACTTATTGTATGTTCCTGTATAGTCATCTATATGACAATATTGGTCCAGTTACTTGTACAAAGGCCATTTAAGGACTAGCTAGATCTTAGAATATGTAATTTACAATAAACCAAATCAAGATAAAAACAGCTGAAGAAATTTAATTATTCTGTATTAAGCACAAAAGTACCTGCATGGATTTTTAGCTTTACATATCACTGATTATCGCACAAATACCACAGTGCTCACCATCTCAACAGTCGTGAAATTATTCTCATCACTCTTTCAACACTGTTTTACCAATGTACTGAATTTATGCTAGTTACTATTTTAATAATTTTAAGATATGAAGAATGAAATAATGGTTTTAATGTATTACTTGAGCATTATTGATACAAGTCTAATAAATGCACCCTAACTATTGTTGACTAGGACTAGTAAGCACTACTGTGGAACTGTCTGGAGTGATCGGCCTGGCTGAAAGAGGCCTATGGGCAAAAAGTAGAGAAATGAAGAGTACATTAAAAGGAACAAACGTGCCTGAAAACAGCTGCAATAAAGAACTTGTCTAACTTTGTCAGTAACATGCACTGCTTTTGTTTCTGTTTCTTTAATTAAGTGTAAAATAAGAGAGAAGGCAAAAGCAGTTTAGTAAGAGATTCATTAGTTTTCACCCTGTTCATCACCTATCTGGGCACTGCAGACACCACGGCACCAGAAACACGACAGCTTAATCTGGAGGCACCTTCGGGAGCAGCTCTCTGGATTTCCACACATGGGGAGAGTGTCCCAGAGGGAACACTGAAAGGAAGGCAGGTCTCCCGGGCACCAAAGGCTGGGAAACCCTACGGAGCCCAACGCAGCATTTTTAGTTTCTTCTAAAATGCAATAGTCTGTAGCCAAGACCGAAAGAATTGCATTTAACATAAAATAAGTTTCTCGAGAGTAGATTACAACAATCTCATCAAAACTGCCTGGAAAGGATAAGCGGCACAGATTAACCGGCGCGGGGAGTGAGCATCTTTACCCAATTATTTCCCTTTTGATTTTTGCGCTGGTTCACAAATAACAGCTGCTGGAAATGTCAGCTATTAATGAGCGAGGACAACACAAACTTGAATGGGAGCTTCTGGGGAGGAGGGAAGGGTGCCACGAATATGCCAGCCCAGACTCTCGCTTATAATAATACCAAATAATACCATCTCCTGCCTCGCCAAGCGCTCCGCAGCCCAAAGTGCATCAGGCTGCCATTAATCCCACTTATCACCCTGACAGCTCGGTAATTACACTCCCACTCGAGCTGGGCGCTGCGAGGTCCCCATGAAGCCGGGGGCACGGCGCGGCACGCACGCTGGCGAGGGGCTTTAGTGAACTCGGGGGGTTGATTACCAAGCCACGTTAGTGTCGACCTATTTTTCTACGTGACAATAAATTATCCTTTGACCATCCCATAATAGATGCTGGAGTGCATTTACTGTACCAAGGAGCAACGCTGCGCGTTCCGGTGAGTTGGCAAAAAGAATAAAATAGCACAAGCGCCACAAAAAAAAGTTATTACAGAAATTACTGCCAGTGACTGATCCCCTGGAAAACAGCACACAAAATCCCAAATCTAAGGGAATATGCCTACAATCACTAGGAGCTCCAATGCCACATGCCTTTTCCCATATGAAGAGAAATTACTCTTTTTAATTACACTTTCCTTTTTCTGTAATTGCCACCTTTCGTTTTTCAAGGCTATTCCATTACTGTGTGTTTAGTTCAAAATGAAAGGTAAACATCAAACCACATTTAATCTAATTCTCCTGTTAGCTGCCATTACATTGAAACAAAAAGATCATTACCAAAAAATACAAAATGAAACCACACATGTTTTAAGTGGCCGTAATATCTTGGATGACAAAAAATGCAGAGCATTAGACAGAGCCAGGCACACCGTGATTATCAAGACTCGTTATCTCAGACTCCAGTTAAAACACAGACAAACCAGTTTTCACTTAGCAGAGCCCTATTTTCATTCTTACCCCTATTCACTAATGAAACAGCCCTACCTTTAGAATTACATGAGCTACGCCAGGCCCTAGAAAATACTGTATTCACCTCAGGGGCAAGTACAAGAGGAGGAGGCAACCCTATAGTCTTTGTACCATTAAACCCGAACTTGGGAATCTCAAAAACAGGCAATGAAATTTTCCATTTTGGGAGCACTTTGCTCTTGGTTCAACTCAGTGTTACTGTAAAATGGTAAGCGAGATATAAAGGTTCTACAAACTCAGTGTAAATATAGCATATTTATATAAATATTTATGCAAATATCACCATTTTGCATAGCTTTACAGACAGGTTTGTGAGTTTATAATGACAGAAATTCACATTTTCCACATATTTCAAACACTACATGTCTTACTGAGCAGTGTTAAATTATATATATATGTATCTCCAGTGAACTTATTTTTAACTTTTAATTTTTAAATATTATAATAATGAAGCTATTTATTGCTGAAGGTGAACCTGCTTTCAGTTAAGCTCCACACACAAAGGAGGCACCTATGCAGTACCCAACATGATCAGCTGTCAGGCTTGTACCTGTCAATTTTCTCCCTACAAAAATAAGCACCTAAAACTGTGTATGAACATGCACAAACTCACTCGGGCTACCTCTAACACTGCAGGTATTATGGTATAAACTCCAAACCAAAACAGAGAAAACAGTAATTATTATTAATAATGAAAGAAATAGACATTTTTAAGAACAGTGATCTTTTTTTCAGGAAAATAAGAAAAGGGGAATTGAAAAAAATAAGTAGTAAATTTCTGGAACAAATACTATCCTTTGGGGAAAAAAAGGATGCAAGAGAACCATGAAGGATAAAAGAGAGATATAAGCAAGAAAAAAGTACAGATAAAGCAACAATTTTCTGGAACAAAAGATATAAGAAACAAATTGTGGGTTTTTGTGCACGAAGGAAAGAGAAGGTTGCTACAGCCAAGACTAATTATCAGTAAATAATTTTCAGTGATTAATTGTTGAAATATTTTTAAGTATTTCTGTAATATTATTTGACCAACAGATTTGCCTCATTTCTGGGAGGAGACTAGCACTTAACACCTCCTTGCTTCTAAACAAAGAAGAGCAATTTAGCTATTTCATTACCTAAAATTGCAGTGAACAATTGTCTGCCTAACTGGCAATAACACTATCTGAAGTGCAATTACTTGTACGCTGAAAGGCCAGGGGTGAAACAGATAATCTGAAGTAATATTCCACAGCGGATCATTGCCGATAACCTAGCAAAATTTTCATATATCACAAAACAGGCCAAATAAACTTTATCTTGGTTACTGTTGGCAGAGGTTTAGAAGCAGATTAAATCCCAGTCCATTTATGTGGCTTTCTGCAGAACATAAAAATATCATTTTAAAAAGGGGCTTCTGGCTCTTCTATTTGTAGAACTTTCTGAAACTTTACCCAGAAATGGCCCACAGAACACAAAACAGGAGTCTGGCACAGGCCGTGCAGCCACGTTCCCATATACACCTGCCAGGACTCGGGTCAATTATTTCTAAGAGAACAGTAGAGTGACACCATCCAGCAACCCGCTCACATGAGGGACCCCTCTATTTGCTGGGCGTTACCAATGCCATTAGTGAGCTTACCATATAGACACTATATGTTTCTCTTAACTGTGCACTGCACAATTATTGACAGAGATTTACTGGGCGAGGCTAACATCATCCTGATAAGCTTCCTGTATCCTAAAATCACTACTCCTTCCAAGCTCCTTAAAACCTGCATACCCAACAGGGTACCTGCAGAGGAAAACTGGAAAAGCAGGGGGATTTGGAATGCAAGCAGAAGAGCAGCAGATAGGGACAGAGGCTCCTGTCTGTACTGTCACTCATCTCACATAAAAAATAAGTATTTTCCCTTTAAAATATTTTCAAACCAATCACAGAAGAAAACATTATTTTTTCTAGACTAGAAACAAAATGTTTTTTTAAAACCAACCAAAACCAAACCAACCCCCAAGAGGGGGTTCTTATCCCCTCTTACTGGACACTGATATCTGAGCAAGATCTCCTCAGAAAGGCTTATCCAAGTAGGAGATTCACAGATCAGCACATTGGAGAGACTGAGAGGCAAATACCCACGACAGATGGGTGGTGAATGAGGGCCCTTAACGTGAGCCAGCTACTCAGTACCTGTGGGCACAGCAAGACAGACCTCACCTTCATGAAGAAAACAAATTATTGCAAGGAAAAACATACAAACACAAGTGAAACTCAGAGGAAGGTGCTGAGATTGCAAAAAGAGAGACACAGACAGTAACGGAAATTTAGTTTGTCTACATATGACTATTCAAAGTTGCAATTTTTAACATCCTTTTAATAAAAGCAGTAGGTCATTTTAAAAATAAGTATGCAGTGCCTGCAATACTCAGGAAATCACATGGAACACGGCTTTTAGGAGACACATTCAGTATCATGCAAGTTAGCAATGCTATTTCATGTCTAAAGAAGTAAGGAAAGACTCCCGCATCCCTGTCACCTTTGGCCACCTGAGCCT